CTGAGGGCCATGCATTTATATACAGTGTGGTCTAAAAGTCTGAGACCAATACTGAAATGCCTCAGTTTTGCATTTACATAATGTCTCATTGCAAATTATGGTATGAGCATAACAAGTCAAGTGAAAAGTTTGAGTGAAAAGTTTTAGGTTTGCGCTGAAACTGACATGAACAAAACCTGATGATCATGTTCACCAGCATCTGAGATGATCCAAAAAGCATCTTAAACTTTAACGGAAGTAACAACATCTGAACTTCTATACAAAGACTCACATGATCAATGTCACTTATTAAATTAAAATTAAATTAAAATATAATATTTTATTTTATTTTATTTTATTTACCTGCAATGCTTTAACAACAGGTGCCTAAGTATATTTTGCCAAAAATGCCATTTTATATTGGCTTTAAATTAATATATACCTGTATATATATTGGCCTTCTATATATATACACTGTAAAAAATTATTGTGATTTTAAAAGTAAAATACTGTAAAAATGCTACAGTAAAAACCTGTTAACTGGTTAACAGTAAGTTTCCATACTATATTCGGTAAATAAATGTAATTACATTTAATATAATTTTACAGTAAAATACTGTTAAAAATAAGGTTTTTGGAAGTGAAAAAGAAAAAGTCATTGTATAATTTACAGTGACAAACCGTAAATTGGCACTCCCAGAATTCCCTGCATGACACTTCATATTTGATGTTTTTTTGTTGTTGAAATAACATGTTTCTTCTTAGTTTGTTCTTATCAGTTGTGTACATTTGGGTTTAATCTTACATCTAATGTTGTTAAATCAATGTGTAACAAAGTTCATAAGTCGGGAAGAAGGAGGCGGGAACCGGCGAACACTCAAACAAAACTTTAATAATAAAATAAACACAAAATAGTGCGACAGCCACTCGCGGACGACTGTCGCGCACAAACAAAACCAAAACACAAAGCACCTTCTGTATATAAGTATTGTCCTCCTCAGCTCGTATAAAAGCTGTTTGTGATGAGCTTTGGTTCATACCGTGACTTTCTCATCACCACCAGTTTTTGGTGGTTATCAGTGCATTACAATGGTTCAAAACAGATATTAGTACTTCAATATTATGTTGGTTTAACATTACATCAGTTAGTGAAATATGGTATTTTATTGTGAATTTAAATTAAGTCTGTAAAACCTAAAATGTTGCTACCATTTTTTTTACGGTGAAATTCTGGCAATCACAGCTGCCGGTATTTTACCGTAAATGTCACCGATTTTTTTTACAGTGTGTATATATATATATATATATATATATATATATATATTAGGGCTGTCATTGTTAACGCATGCGATTAATTTTACAATCCTTAATGAGTTAAAATAATTTAACGCAAAATTACTGAAGCACAATTTCTATTCTAACCCTTTAATCTGCTTGTGATTAGATCATTTTAAGCTGCTAAACTCCGGGAAAGTTTTCAGTCCAATGATCCAGTAAGCGAATGCATTCAAACAATCCGTCCAAAACAGCGCTAATATGAAAGAAACCAGGCTGATTACATCAGAGATTGCAGAGAGAACAGAGACTCATGTTGCGTTTTAAGGGGGGGATCTTTTGCGCAGGGGCGAATCTAGAAAATATTTTTTAAAACCAAAGCAAGCCCCCATGCATAGTTTTGGGGGATTTATGGTCTGACATACACAGTTGTGTTCACAAATACTGTATTACCAATTAAGTAATCTATTAAAATTACATTTGAAAAAAAAAAAAACTGTAAATGCTTACACACAGTTCAAATACACAGATGACTTGCCTGCCCAGTGAACACTGAGATTAATAACACTGTGACAAAAAACACTTATTAGGATTCAGGAATTATTTTTGCAGCTCAATGTCTATTACAGTATACATAAATTAAATTACAGATACAGATGTATAATTCAGAAATGAATTTTTGGGGAAAAATCATTTTACTACTGTAAAACATAAAATAATTAAAAAAAAAAGTAAATTTAGCATCATCTGCACATTTAGCCAAATTGCATTACAGTATACAGTACTATAGCAGTTTCTTGGTCTCCTGACACAAGACTAGCTATATCTCCAGGCAGTCATGTCTCAGTTCTGAAACAATGCAGTACACATAAAAAATGGTTACAAATAAAATTTGACAGTCACACGCTTGAAGGTGTACAACATGTGCTACAGTTTACTGTAAATATAGAATAGTGAAATTTCCATTATTTAATGTACTGTAATTATACTGTAAGTATAAAACCCCTGTAGATGATTGGCTCAGCTCGAGCTCTCTCCGTTGTTAGCATGCAGAGATTCTGATTGGTGTGTCATCAGTTTTGCTTCCTAATGTCTACTCATTGGTAAACTTTTTTGAGAAATGTGTCTTTGTTTTGAAAACTGAATTATGAGTTTGGGGGAAAAAATGTCAACTAAAATCCGATATATTAACAATCGAAAAAACTGCAATACGCGGATTCTTACCTAACTCTGCCATTAGTTTCCATGATCCGCATCTTCTTATTGATTCCATGTTATTGTTACGGCTTATATCCATGATGAAAGTGGAACGAGCGGTCGGAGAATCGGATCACCAAATAATTATGCGCTGAATCTCAGACATGCATGTCTGATATGTCCGGATATATCCGGACGGGATTAGATTTCTCAGAGGACTTCTGAATTACCTGAAAAGCAGTAATTATCTGATTCACAAACAAATGTAAAAACAATTCGTTAGTGAACTGAATTTTAATGGATGAAGACTGCAATCAAGGTAAAGACTATTGTGGTGACGTACAGGAGTCCTACAGTAAGCACGCGTGAGTCCATTATAATAATGTGTGTATGAGTGCTCTTGACGCACTGATCGCACATTGTATTTATGCACAGCACAGACATTTCCGTACATTCACGTTGTTTCCACACACATTCACGATAATGTTTTGATTTGTCATGTTTATGTTGCTGTGTTTAGTTATACGGAATGTATCCGTGTACTGTAGATATATGCAGTCAGCAGGCGGTTGGTTTAGTTTTTTTTTTTGGCATCGATTGACAGCCCTATTATATATACACTGAACAAAATTATAAACGCAACACTTTTGATTTTTGCCCCCATTTTTCATGAGCTGAACTCAAAGATCTAAGACTTTTTCTATGTATACAAAAGGCCTATTTCTCTCAAATATTGTTCACAAATCTGTCTAAATCTGTGTTGGTGAGCACTTCTCCTTTGCCGAGATAATCCATCCACCTGACCGATTGTTTCAGCAGCTGTCCAGGTGGCTGGTTTCAGACGATCTTGGAGGTAAAGATGCTGGATGTGGAGGTCCTGGGCTGGTGTGGTTACACGTGGTCTGCGGTTGTGAGGCCGGTTGGATGTACTGCCAAATTCTCTGAAACGCCTTTGGAGATGGCTTATGGTAGAGAAATGAACATTCAATTCACGGGCAACAGCTCTGGTGGACATTCCTGCAGTCAGCATGCCAATTGCACGCTCCCTCAAAACTTGCGACATCTGTGGCATTGTGCTGTGTGATAAAACTGCACATTTTAGAGTGGCCTTTTATTGTGGCCAGCCTAAGGCACACCTGTGCAATAATCATGCTGTCTAATCAGCATCTTGATATGCCACACCTGTGAGGTGGATGGATTATCTCGGCAAAGGAGAAGTGCTCACTAACACAGATTTAGACAGATTTGTGAACAATATTTGAGAGAAATAGGCCTTTTGTGTACATAGAAAAAGTCTTAGATCTTTGAGATCAGCTCATGACAAATGGGGGCAAAAACAAAAGTGTTGCATTTATTATTTATTTTGTTCAGTATATATATATATATATATATATATTACTTTAAAGCCGATATAAAATAAAACTTCATAACTTCTTTGTTTAACATTATTCAAACCCAAAAACTTTCAACTGGTCTTTGGACCCCCTGTATTTTTGGTAAGCACAATGGTGTGAAACTCTTGTCGTTGGGCAAGACAAATGTATGCATAAAATATTGTATTGAATATGAAATGTCTATTTTAGCCAACAAGCATTGTAGTTCTTTACAGAACAATGAAAGATATGTTTTTGCAACCTAGCATGTAAAATGAGCTCTTCGAATTATTAAATTCAGCTCTCTTTGAAAATATGTGCAATTTATTTTGTTTATTAAATGCAACAGAGTGCCAGACTCCACTCTCGTTCTGTTGTACAAACTCAAACCTCGGCTCTGGAGAAGCATTAAAACTCAAACAAAACACAGGAGTTATTAATGCTTTTTGGCTGGGCTTCAGACAGCCGTCATGTTTTATGGTTAGAATTCGGGGAAATGATTTAATGGAAAAGGTTCAAGGCACTAACCCGGCTGATTCAGCTTTCCTTTTTCCTCTGCAGTTTCACTTGCATACCTAATTCATGTTTACAAATGTTTCCCCTCCACAAGCGCACACACAAATATATCCCCACTTTCCTTTTAGAGGTCACGGAAAGGTCTGCCCTGCAGGAACTGATTTATGAAATGCTAATATGCTATGAAATGGCATGGATGGGAAATGTGCTGTTATGTTATTTTTTTCTTTCTTTCTTTTTTTTTGTGCCTGGCACCATTTTATCTTCATCTCTAGGATTATGAAGACTAACATGCACCAGACAGCACTCATAAATTTGAGTTAAACATCTGCACGATTATTCATAAAGATCTTACGTCATGACGTTTGTATGTGGCCGGTAGAAATAGGAGTACATGTGCATGACACACAGCATGAAGTCAAAATGGACTTTCTTTATTTTACAAATTACTTTCCTGGTCTTAGTTTGAACAACAGGCACATGTTAATGAAAAGGCTTCATAATAATTTTGCCCCAGGCCCTAAATTTGAGTAGATAAAGTCAAGTCCCATACTGTAAATATCCTGTTTCACTTGGGATAACATCACATAGTGGAAGTAAAATGGGTTGCAAACATGTTTTAAATTCAGTTTAAAGTGGTTTATCCAATAAAAATCAATCAGTATCCTAAACTGTACTCTATGGCACTATTTTCTTTGCTTTCTTATTTATTACTATATTTGATGATGATGATGATTATTATTATTATTTGTATTAAGTCAAGTCAAGTCAAGTCACCTTTATTTATATAGCGCTTTTAACAATACAGATTGTGACAAAGCAACTGAACAGCATTAATTAGGAAAATAGTGTCAATAATGCAAAATGACAATAGTAAACACAAATTTTTCAGTTAAAGACAGTTCATCATTGAATTCAGTGATGTCAACATCCAGCTCAGTTTAAATAATATCTTTGCAATCATGTCAACGATAACGCTGGAAATGAAGTGTCCCCAACTAAGCAAGCCAGAGGCGACTTAGTATTATTATTATTATTATTATTATTATTAGTAGTAGTAGTAGTAGTAGTAGTAGTAGTAGTAGTAGTAGTTGTAGTAGTTGTAGTAGTAGTAGTAGTAGTAATAGTAGTAGTAGTAGTAGTAATAGTAGTTGTAGTTGTAGTTGTAGTAGTAGTAATATGCATAGCTTAACCAGTATGTATGGTCATGCTTTCAAAAATGCTTTCATACTGACTTCATACTGAAGTGGTGTATCCATAGTTTACAATTGCATTTTTTAAATACAAAAATGTAGATTTGATTTAATTTATTTTATTTTTTATATATTTAATTTTTTTTAATAAATACAATTATTATGTTTTATTTATTTAATAAAATAAGTAGTTAATTAATAAGTTATTTAATAAAAAAGTTGTGTTTCAATAATTATACTTATTGAGGGATCCTTAAATCCTCACGTGCAAATTGTGTGTTGTGTTTTTATTTTTGTTTTGTTTTTAATTCATTTATAATAATTTATTCACATAATCATTTTATAATCATTAATCATTCATACGATTTATTATTTGATTATTTTTATCATTTATCATTATATTAAGTATTTTATTGTTTATTAATTTATTATGTTTCTATATTTAATATTTCTTATAAATTTTTCCTTGCTTATGCATTTTCGTTGTTGTTAAATCTCATGCTTGTGGGGTTTCATGAACTGTTTTGTCTGTATGAATAGAGATAGATAAGAGGGAATGTTTATGGAAACCCAAGGTTTATGGGATGTTGCTGTGAAGCAGTTTTGGTATTAACAGTACATGCTGAATTTGTGCTGGTCAGACGAAGTTAGAACATTGAGACATACGCAACTAAGATTGTTCAATAAACTCGGTTACTTTTTACCATCATCACTTCGTCTCCTGCTTCTGCTCTTCTCTGGCTTTCCTCGGTCAACTTCTTGACTGACAGAAGACTGCTAAACACTCGTTTTGGGTATTTTGGAATACCAGACAAGACTTGCTGTTAACAGGGTTTAGGTATTAACAGCGCTACTGACTAGTTGTTCCCTTTCAGTCGGTCACTCTCGACGTCACGTCGGAGGACCGACGAATTGGGATCTCGCTTAGAGGGACCAATCTACTTTGAGTGTAAACTAAACGAGCCAATGCACATTGGCATGCGATTATTGCATCCAGCTGCTGCTGATCACAGCGTGAGTATAAGTAGGCAACAGATGCGGCGCATATTCAGGTTCTCGCTGAGGAGCCGAGCGATCACATCGTTCTGCTCCTGACTACTCTACGGAGAGAAGAAGACTGAACGAGTTCAGCACACTCTAGGGTGGTCACGACCCAGAAGTTCGCAGAGAACTCCGCACCGCGGCGGACTTCGCACCACGAGTGACGAAGGTTATGGCGCGGTCTCTGGGTCGCGCGATGTCCACTATGGTGGTCCGGGAGCGCCATTCTGGCTGTGACTGGTTGACATGCGCGAGACGGACAAGACACGATCCTTGAACGTCCCCATGTCCCAGGCCGGCCTGTCAGCGACACGGTGGAGAACTTGCCCAGCGGTTCTCCGCTGACCAAAGCAGACTGAGGCCATCAGGTACATCCTGCCCCGGCGTGCAGCTGCTGCCACCGCCAAAAAAAAGAGCTGCGCTCCTGCGGCCTCCAGCAAAGCTGTGCCGTGGAACCGGTCGCAGGGCAGCCGCCCCGCCCGTCCAGGCCCCCGCCAAACCTGGTGGCAAGCGAGAGAGCAAGAGGCCCGGAGACGGGCAACCCAG